GATTGCTTGAGCCCAAGTTTGAGGTTGCTGTGAGCTATGATGCCACAGCACTCTACCGAGGGCGACAAAGTAAAACTCTGTCTAAAAAAAACAAAAAAACCAAAAGAAAACTGATGTTCTAGAAGGATTTTCAATAACATGAAAAGATATTCCCAATCTACATTTAAATGTTTAAAAAGCAGATGTCAGAAATATTTACAATATTGGTATATATCTTTCATATCATCTTTCTGTTTCTCTCTCTCATATATATTTTACACACACACACAGGTTCCAAAAAATGTATACACATTTTAAGAAAGGAAAAACTGTGTTAAAATTATAATACTCAAGTCACGTTTGACTTTTGCGATTACAAGAAGTGCTCAAAACATGAATTGTATTCATCTTTTGTTACTGGTATATATTCAGCATTACAGTTTCAATATAGTTTTTTTTTCCTTTCTTAAAATTTGTATACATCCTTTTTGGCACTCTCTGTATATATTTTCCTACTAAAAACAGGTTAGGGTGGTGCCTGTGGCTCAAAGGAGTAGGGTGCCAACCCCATATGCTGGAGGTGGCGGGTTCAAACCCAGCCCTAGCCAAAAAAACCCCCAAAAAACAGGTTAAAGCAACACTTGAATCACCAAATATGGAAAATGATGAAAAGCAAAAGCAACCAATAAAAAGCATTTGTGCTACTACCACCAGTAAGCCAACTGCCAGAAAGCCGGGGGGGTGGGCATGGGGGAAAGGGTGGTGGTGATCTGAAGGTACCAGGTGTCAATATGGAAGGGCCTGGATTCAAATCCAGCTGGGGACCCTGAGCTAGTCACCTGCTTTATGTAACACTTTTGTCTATAAAACGGGGATAAAATAATCATAACAATAGTTCACACTTTCTGAACTTATGTAGCAAGCATAGGCTCCCTGGGTTTGGGGGCATTCAATGAGATCATGGATGTAAAGCCCCTGGCACTAGGAGGAGTGTAACAGATGTTAGTACCACCTTTGCCCCTCCTGTTCTGTGTATGAGGGGTTGACGGCATCTCAGGATCCTCCTGGGGTGGGAGGAGCAGCTGGCTGCTGTGCCCACATCCCAGGGCTCACTGGCGGGGACTCTGGCCAAACCCCAGGGATGCCGGCTTTGTTCCTCTGTATAAACAAACAAGGTGGGGTTTTGCCCTTGGGATGATGCAAGGCAGGGGAGCTTTAACCGGGACTGAGCCTCCTAATTAGCCCTGCTTTTGTTATTCAGCCTCAGATTGATCTTTTCACCTTTAATCTGGATTTGTTGAAATGTGACATGCACTGTAATTTTATCCACACCCCCTCCAAGAGGCATGACTGCAGAGCAAACCCTCCCTACTCCACCTCTTGGCTCTGAAGCCCAGGGCTCCCTGAGGGTGGCAGGGGATCTCTGGGACCATTTGGGATGGTGTAATATGATGAAGGCTCCAGGATTGGAGATCTGAGGGCACTGGAGAGGCTTTCCCCCAGGCCAGCAAGCACACTCTATGCATTCCTGAGTCCTGGAGGTTCCAGAAAGCACAATGAAATGAGGGGGCAATGGGCTCCTTGGTCAGACACCTCTGGACTTAGGTCTGCCATTTGCTGGCTATGTGACACTGGCCAGTCATTACAACTCTCTGAGTCTCCTTTTCCTTGTCTGAAAAGCAGGGCTAGGTGTATGGACCTATGAGGCTAGACCTGTGAGACTGTGTGGAAAACACTCAGGCAGGAGGGATGCTCAGTGAATGGAGATTTTCTCCATCATTTTATGATGGGCTGATGAAGTTGCCTGTAGGATAAGAGAAAAGGAACACAGCAGCTGAGTGTCGAAGGCTCAGGATGGATTGTCATACCCTCTATCCCCCTCTCCACCTGTGTCCTGTGAATTCTCAGGTGAGAAGCCACATCCCCACCTGACTGTCCAGAGCATGTATGCCTAGTTGTGAAAGGGGAGGCCAGGAAGGGAGAGAGCTGGTCTCTTCTCAACTCCTCTTTGCTCAGTACCAGCCTCTTGCTCCTGCTCCCCTCCAACCCCCCCAAGCCTAACTCCTTCCAAAGAGACCTCTTGTGAAGAAATAGAGGCCTTATGAATCCAATCTGGGGCACTAACCTTAGGGCAAGGCAGCTGCTTACCTGGGGCAGGTGCTTTTTCAGGAACAGTGAAAAATTTTCTTTGGGTTTTTGACATAAATCCAGCTCGGGCACTGACGTTGTTTCTCTGCTTGCAGCAAGTGATAGAGGCCTGGGGGGAGAAAATACGCCCAATGTGCTCAAGACCTTCCCTTTCTTTTCCTCTTTGTCATCATGCCTGGGCAATTGACAAATCAAGGTTAAAAAAAAAAAAATCAGATTGAAACTTGTCCTTCCTAGAAAATGAACTGACATGAACTGAGAAGGTTAGACCGACTGTGCCTTCACTGTCATCCCAGCTTGAGGGGTCCATGATTTGCCATTCCTCAGCAAAAGAGTGATGACACCCCCCCCACACACACACACACACAAACACACACACGGCACAGAGGACAGTGCCCAAAAGAGACAGCCTTGCAGACCCAGCTTCCAGGCTCACTTCTGCCGAGGACAAGCTATGTGGCCGCGCACAAGTTGTTTTCTCATCTGTAAAGTGGATTTCCACTTGTGGCAGACTATTGTTGGGGATGGGAGTGGCCAACACAGATCATTTATAGGAAAGCGGGTTTTTTTTTTAATTGTGTCATGCTTCATACGCACATTATTTCATTCTGTTTCCTAGTATTTTTATTCTCTTTAGGACACTCTGTCCTACCGATCCCCATCTTGATCCCTAGATACCTGCCTCAATGTTCAAAGAGTTCTATAAACACAGAGTTCAGGGCACACAAGAGAATCGTATCATTTAAGATTGTGATCAGAATTTGTAAGTACTCCCTCCTCTCTTGAGTTTTCTGGTCTGACCAGAAATTAAGAATTTTGATCCATCCACGCAATATACATTTGAGAATGTCTGATGTGTTGGGAACTCTAAAAATAATAGAGGGAAAAAAAAAAACCTCTGAGATCATTCTTCTGTTACACATGAATCATAAATATTTATTTATTTATTTTAGAGACAGAGTCTCACTTTGTTGCCTTTGGTAGAGTGCTGTGGCATCACAGCTCACAGCAACCTCCAGCTCTTGGGCTTAGGTGATTCTCTTGCCTCAGCCTTCTGAGTAGCTGGGACTACAGGCACCTGCCACAACACCTGGCTTTTTTTGTTGCAGTTTGGCCAGGCCGGGTTTAGAACCCGCCACCCTCAGTATATGGGGCTGGTGCCCTACTCGCTGAGCCACAGGCACCACCCAAATCATAAATATTTTAAATGCCAATTTGCAGTTAGCCCCCTGTATTCATTGGATAACAGAGGCCATACAAATTGGATCTGTGATCGCTAGGAATATTTACTGAATGAGTAAAACTATTTGCTGGGGCCAGGATAGTTTGATTTTCTGTGATACTCTTGTGTCAAAAAAAAAAAAAAAGTTTCTTGAGAAATGCAGATGGTATTTTGATTTTGTGTTTACAAAGGTGGAGGAATTTAACTTTTCCCAGGGTCCTAATGGCTAGACCGCATGCAGAGAGAGCAAACAAAGGGACCAGATGGGGCAGGTTAATTACTGGACCTGGGGGAGAGGAGCCAGGTTGCCGGAGAGAAGGTAATAACACAGTACCAAGGAAAAAGATTCGAATATACAAGTGGGGGGAATCCTGGTAGCAAAGGCAGAGAAAGGCCTTGAGAGACCTCAAAGCAGTGTGGCTAACAGGATTATCACATTTCTTCTCCTTGCTGGTTGACACGACCATTGTTCTCTTGGTCTGAAAAAAAGCCTCCTGTAGACAAAACAGTACTTTGGCTTTATCCTTCACCCAGACAGAAAAGCAACGGAAAAGGGAGCATTTTTGAACACACTGAGTGTGTGTCACTGGCAGATTTTACCATTAGAAGAGAGAAATAACCAGCAGGTTAAAAAAAGAAAGCAGCAGATTTCTTGTGTTGCCATGAAAAGAAATCCTAGATAGAGCTAAGAGGATGACGAAGCATGTGGACCAGCAGCACCATCCCAAATCTGCTGGGAGGCTGGGAGGCTGGAGAGAAGGAGAGACTAGGAAGGAAATTGTATCTGGTTTGGGGTGGTGGTTGGCTTTAGGGAGTAGAATTATAAGGGGCTTCTACTTTCTTGTTCATGAGTCTGTATAGTGCTTGAATATATTTTATGAATATACTTTAGGATGGAGTCACGTTAAAACAATAATGGAAGAAAGCACACCTAAAGTTGATCTACGGGCAGAAGTACAAAATTCTGACTTGGGGAATGATAATTTCTAGATTTACAATGGTGTACTACTGAGTTGCTGCCATAAGCATGTATTGCATGCTTACTGCATACCTGGGCCTGTGCTGGGTGTTGGACACAGGAAGCTGAGAGAAGGAGCAGGCAGTGGTTGGGAAAGCTGACGTGTGAGACTCTAACTAAGGTGGACTTCAGTTACAGCCAGGAGGACATAGAGAGAGGCACATGCACGGACAGAGTCGGCACCTGCGTCTTTTAAGGAACTCGGTCCTCTCTCCAGAATGACAAAGGGGCAATGGCCACACATTCCAAGGCCACATCTTGTCTTCACTCCTGTTAGCTTAGCAGTCTCCTCACTGTTTTTCCAGAACCCACTTTAACTCACACTACAGTCCATTCTCCACACCACGGCTGGGAGGAGCTTCTTTTAAAAGTACATCAGAGCACACCACCTACAGCTCTCACCCTCCATGGGCTTCCCAGTACACGGAAAACAAAATTCAAACTCCTCCTGGGATCTTTAGGATACTGCCTACTGCCTTAGTCATTCAACCTTCTTGTAGATCCTCATGGGCTAAGCTCTATGCTGTCTCAGGACCTTTGCACATGCTGTTTCCCCTCAGAACCTTCTTTCCCCTCCAAGTCTACAGTACAGGGTACTGCCAACCCCTTGGACCCCTACATATTTTCTCTCAGGCTCCAACTGTTTTTCTTCAGCTGAAAACAGTTTGTAATTATTTTATTTGTCTGTTTACTAGTTCTT